GGCAATAGGCTGACTCTGTAAACCATTTAAAGGGGGCTATAAAGCAACGTGAAGTAGCATATAAGTCTAAGGGCTATTGCTACTGTCTTATTCTACTGCACCAAAGGAAATAGTTAATGCCTTTTTTGTTCATTTCCCCCCCTTCTTTTCTACACTTTTCCCCTCCCCTCCCCTATTTTTCCTACTATTTGCTCTTGTAATTTTCTATTTTATGTCATAAACTTTTAAAAAAACAACACAAATAAGCCAAAGTGAGAAACCGAAACCGCGGAAGGGAAGAGTGAAAAGTCATTTGTCATTATGCTTCCAGGAGAAAAAGAAAAAAAAGAGTGATGGTGTTGAGATAAATATTCATTGCAAGTCTTGTAACACGCCATAGTAATCAAAAGACGCTAACCCTGGTTTATTTACTTGCTCTTCCTAATATAGCTTGTGCTTGCAATCCATTGGGCACCCATCCGGGAGGGAATCCGTGCGACTCCGAGACAGGAAACTGTTACTGTAAACGTCTGGTTACAGGAAAGCATTGCGATCATTGTCTGGTACGTTCTCCCGTTTATAATTAATATATGGATCCCTCCCCCCCAAAAGAAAGACAGACAGAGAGACAGGATTTTTTTTAGGTTAACTTGGTTTCAAAGGTTCAAGTACATGTTGTTCTCGACTTACAACCATTCACTGAGTTGACCGTTGGAAATTACAATGGGGCACCGAAAACAAGGGAGTTATCGTTGGTCTTTTGTCCTGGTTGTGATGCCTGTTTGTGACTGAGTGGATGATCTTCTGACTAGCACGGATGATGTTACGTAGTTGAGTAATGAAATGTTTGTATGAAAACAAGCAAGCTCAGAGAGCCCCAAGAACCCCTTGTTACAACCCTGAGCTACCAATATTCCCCTTTATTGCCTCTATCTATCTATCTATCTATCTATCTATCTATCTATCTATCTATCATCTACCTTCCTGCCTACCTATCTATCTCTATATATCTGTCTATCTCTACCTACCTACCTACCTACCTACCTATCCATATATCATCTATCCATCACCTATCTATCTCTACTATCTGCTACAATCTACTATCTAGCACTGATGATGTTACCTAGTTGGGTAATGAAAAGTTAGCACCCGTATCAATCCTGAGCTATAAATATTCTCCGTTATTGCCTCTATATCTGTCTGTCTGTCTGTCTGTCTGTCTGTCTGTCTGTCCGTCCATCCATCCATCCATCCATCCATCCATCCATCTATCTATCTATCATCTATCTATCCATATCTATCTATCTATCTATCTATCTATCTATCTATCTATCTATCTATCTATCTATCTATCATTTATCCATCTCCTTTCTATATCTACTATCTACTACTATCTACTATCTAGCACTACTGATGTTACCTAATTGGGTAATGAAACGTCTGCAAGAAAACAAGCAAGCTTAGAGAGCACCAAGGATCCCTGAGCTACCAATATTCCCCTTTATTGGAGGTTTTTCTACCTGTAATGTCCAAAATCTTTCCTTGCAGCCTGAAAACTGGGGGCTGAGCAACGATATGGATGGGTGTCGGCCCTGTGATTGTGACCAAGGAGGCTCACTCAATAATAAGTAAGTTCGGTTCCTATTGCCATAATTATAAACTTTCTTAGTGCATTTTTTATGGGGCTATGTTTCAGGAGCAAATCACCTTCCAGAGTTTTCTAGAATAGTCTATTCCTGGTGTGCTAAATATTGGAAACTTATAAAGACCGGAGGGGGGTATCTTAAATTAATCCACACATTCCTGTATTTCTCCTAAACTTTGTTAATTATCTCTGCTTTGCTAAGTTCTTTCCTTGAGTTATTCCTTGCCTTTTATTATTTAAATTTATTATTAATAGCTCAATACCCATGCTTCGCTACAAAACTATGTGATCAGGCTGTTTTTGTGGGAGGAAAATAAGAGGGGTGGACATTCTGCCTCTGCCTACCAGCATCCATTGGTATTTGTCTGGCTAGCGTCCTGTCAGTGTGTGAGAGAGTTGAGGGCTGTTTGGAAACTGAAACAGTATTTGCTGTGTGAGCAAGGAGACAGCAAGGAGCCTGGGCGTGGCTTAGCTCAACTGTTCTGTACTAAAGCTGCTTGCTGCTATGAAACTGAAACTCCTCTCCTCTGCTTGTGTTTTGCATTTGGTACAGATTTCTTTTCAGGTGGGGGAGTAGAACTCCTTAGCATCAGAGCATGTTAATATTAATAATATAGGAAATACTAATGCTCTGATGGTCATTTCGAAAAACCCTTTCTTAGTGAGACCCTAGAAGCCAAGAGGAACATACGTGCCAAATGTTAAGTTTGTAGGCTTTATGGTTCTGGAGTTTTTGTGATGATGCATGAGGGGTATTTCGCTTTTACATATATAGATTTAGAATCATTAATCAGTGAAGCAGCTTGCCTCTGGAAATTGTGAATGCTCCAACACTGGAAGTTTTTAAGAAGAGATTGGACTGCCCTTTGTCTGAAATGGGTATAGGGTTTCCTGCATGAGCAGGGAGGGTTGGACTAGAAGACCTCCAAGGTCCCTTCCAACTCTGTTATTACATTTTGTTCTAAATTTATCAGGTTTCCTTTCTTGTGGATCTCAACTCCATCCAACCTTGACTTTCCTGGCCTTTCCTCATGATCCAGTTGCTCTTCCTTCCTAAATACATTTGAATTTCAATTTCTGTCTCCTTTGCCAGGTCACCGTTATTAGCTTTTTGCTTGAGTAGACTAGAAATTTATCTCGCTGGATTTTGCTTCAAAGGATTGCCAACTGGGGGAAACCAGAAAGTAGCAGCAATCTTCCCTTTTTACTATTTAGGTACATCCTGTTCTAGTTCTTTTCTTGACAGGCTCAGCTCCTTGTTTGTAGTTAGTAAAGGGCAGGGGTGGGATTCAAAATTTTTAACAACTGGTTCTGTGGGTGTGGCTTATGTGGCGGGCGTGTCTTGGTGGTCATGTGACTGGGTGGACATGGCTTGGTGGTCATGTTATTGGTTGGGTGTGGCCAACCCAATACCACTCACATCGAGGCACGCATCTCCTCGCCTGGCCTCTCATGACTGTGGGGATGCTGCAACAGTCGTAAGTGTGAAAAAGGGTCATTAGTCACTTTTTTCAGTGCCATTGTAACTTTGAATGGTCACTCCACACAAGCAAAGTACCAGCAAAGGAGGGGAAAAAAACTCCAGAGACTTCCAGAGACAGGAATTCTAGTCCTGCCAAGAATGTAATAAGGGTTAACGGAGAGGCAGTTTCTGTAAGCAACACCAGAATGTTTCCTTCCTGCCTTCCTTACAGGATTAGGCCAATATTTTTTTCTAACAACCGGTTCTCCGAACTGCTTAGAATGTTAACAACTGGTTCTAGCGAATAGGTGCAAAATGGTAGAATCCCACCCCTGGTAAAGGGGGTTCTGGGCTTATGACCCCAATTGAGCTGAAAATTTCTGTTGCTGAGCGAGACGCTTGTTAAGTGAATTTTACCCCCATTTTTTTTACCCCCCGTTGTTAAGTGAATCACTGCAGTTATTAAAATAGCAACACAGTTGTTCAATGAATCTGGTTTGCCCATTGACTTGCTTGTCAGAAGGTGGCAAAAGGGGATCGTGTGGTCCCCATCGGCATTGACAAACTCACCATGAGTCAATTGCAAAATGCTCCAACAATGGAGGTGGTCTTCAGCAGGTTCTGACCAGTTCTGGAGAACTGGTAGTGGAAATTTTGAGTAGTTCAGAGAACCGGCCAATCCCACCTCTGACTGGCCCTGCCCCCCTCTATTCTCTGCCTCCTGAGTCCCAGCTGATTGGCTGGGTCTCCTTTGGTTGCCCTGCACAGGAGAACGGAGCTGGAAAGCAGGTTAGTGGGGTGGGGAGGGAATGGGAATTTTGCAGTATCTTTCCCCTGCCACACCTACCAAGACACGCCCATAGAACCAGTAGTTAAATATTTTGAATCCCAACACTGGTATACGGTTTTCTGTCTGAGCAGGGGGTTGGACTAGAAGACCTCCAAGGTCCCTTCCAATTCTGTTCTCCTCTCCTCTCCTCTTCTCTTCTATTCATCCCATTCTACTCTATTCTACTCTATATTCCATTCTGCTCTGTTCTATTCTAATTCTAATTCTATTCTCCATTCAATTCCATTATTCTATTCTATTCTATTCTATTCTATTCTATTCTATTCTATTCTA